GCTTGCCACTTTCAGCATTCGTTTTAACATGCTTGGATATATCAAGATCACCTTGCGTCTCCATATCATAAATGGAATTTGATGTTTTATATCCTTCATCAAATTTTTGTGTCTCTGCTTCATATATATTAACTCGATTCTCGCTAACATTAATATCAGATGTGTGCAATGCAATGGAACTTAGCGAGTCATTGCTCTCATTTTTGGAAGTATTCTTTTTATTAATACTTGGAGATGGATTTTGTTGCGGAACTCGCGGTCGTCGAAAGATGCTGTTCTCATCATCTTTCTGAGTTCCAAGAATAATGGATCCATCATTGTCCACACTGGATGAGTTATTCTGCAAATGAATATATTCTTAATTAGTTCAATTAACACCAATATAACCAATAGGAGATAAAACCCATAATAAATATTACATACTAATCGCATGTAAAGCACTTACAAGTGATGAATCTGGCGTATTAGGAATTATTATATTCGCAGTTTTCTGTCGCGATGGTACAGGTGTCTCTGGTATCACTTCGTTGTTGGCCGGACAGTACATACGATAAATTGCACGCACTCCTCCGAATTCAATAACACTCTCATCCTTAAGTTCGTATGAACGATTGGGTTTTAATACTAACTGTAAACATAAAAAAAATTTTATTAATTCATTTTAAAAATTATCACAATGTTTTTGTCACATTATTTTAAAGCATTAAAAAATTTATATAATTTATATGTGTATATGCATGTTTCACATGCGTAGTTTATTAAGAATAATTCTTTCTCTATCAATTAGTTATATATCTGTATATGCAAGTGAGATTATATAATGACAGCTTGCAAATCAAAATGACGAAATAACCCAAATTTTTATCAATATAGTTATTAACAACTAGATATGTAGTAACTACATTATTAAGCTTTGTTTTGTTGAGAGATTTCAAATCACAGATCCAGGTTGATCCTCGACCACTAGCTTCAATTTCTGCATGTAGTTTTGACACTGTCTGAAAAAAGATTAAAAATATTACAAACTTTTTTTACTACTTGGCATCAAAAATACTTGTTCATCAGTCTTTTACTATGTACAAAAAAATCTATGTGAAAAAAAGATGATACAATCTATCTATCATAATCAGAACTAATAGTTTTAAATAATATCAAGAAAAAAAACTGAACATTTTATTCAAACTTTATTATAATCAAATTTTATTTGGATGTAATATTACTCAACTTTATACATCAATTTATAGCAAGTTCTTATAAAACTAAAGGAATATTTTTCTTCGAGCCCAACTTATAAAAATTACCAACTGATTTTTTATAAAAATAATAAAAAATATACTGAAACTTACTTCATTTCGAATAACAATGTTGCAGATATCAAGTCTACCAATTTTTGTAATTCCTGTTTTAATCTGATAGTCAGTGGAATTAATGCTTAACGTTCCAACCTAAATTATTTAATAAAATATAAAACGTTCATTAAATCGTTATGCATTAAATATTATTTATGAAATAAAGTATTAAAAAATAATTCAATATCAAACATTAAGACATAAAATATTTAAGATTTAACAAATATACTATTATAAATTCATTATAATAAAATGCAATCTCTCACTCTCTCTCTCTCTCTCTCTCTCTTCAACTATACATTTTACTATTAAAAAATGTATTGAACTATACTTAACCTGTATTGACTCTTTCTCCGCATGTGTTAACGCATGCGAGTCGGTAAATAAATTATCTTCATCCTCATAAACTTGTGTAGCTGAGAAATCCATTGTTATTAACAACAAAAGTTTTTCAAGTAATTAACGTTTAATCACACCGACAAGATTTTTCTCGGTAAATGGTAAAAACCTTCACCATTTAAACAATTACACAATCAATATATAAGCAAGCAAGTATGCCATAAATATTGACTTTATAATAATAATACTTAACAAATAAATATTAATACAAAATGAAACATAAATTTCACATATCTCTTAAATAATCGACCATGCAAATCAATGCAATCGATTAACTGCGAAGCGCGACCGTACTATCTAGATAATTGCAGCTTTTGCCGCCAAAGCGTCAATGGCTGCGTTCAGCAGAGAAAGCAGCTTTGCAACTGTTGTAAAATTCTTCAATATGATTGGTTTATACGTTTAGATCTGTAAGGAACCAAAAGCAAGAACCAATCGTATTGAAGAATTTTACAACAGTTGCAAAGCTGCTTTCTCTGCTGAACGCAGCCAATGGCTGCGTTCAGCAGAACGTTTGTTTTGCAGAACGCAGCCAATAAAAACAAGAAAAAAACTTATGCCCTATGCTTATGCGTAGTTCAGATTGGACACAGCAAGCGTCAAACAGCGGAGCGGCAATCAATCAATGGGTGCATTCAGTACTACAACCGCTCACTGAGCGCTCAGTGAGCTCTTGCATCTGATTGGCATATTCCGTTAGAACTAAAAATATAGACCAAACAAATACAAAAGCTCACTGAGCGCTCAGTGAGCGCTTGCATCTTATTGGTATATTTCGTTAGAACTAAAAATATAGACCAAACAGATACAAGAGCTCACTGAGCGCTCAGTGAGCGGTCGTGGTACTGAATGCACCCAGTGAGACGATATTGGCTGCGGTCCACTTGACACTACAAACGCTTCGAAGCGTTTGACCGACCAATTAGAACAAAGAATTTAAGAATTGACTAATCAAAGAATGCTTCGAAGCGTTTGTAGCGTCAAGTGGACCGCAGCTATTTACAGTGGCGTAAAAAATCGCCTTGCTTAAAGTCACTAGAGCGGTATTCATAGTCGATTTTTAGGCCGGAACACGGTGTAAGAATAGGCCGGAATCAGACTATGCATTGAAGATTCAGATTGAAGATTGAAGATTAAAATTTAACCAGTAAGGACAAAGAAATTTTAGCTCCTATTGTTTTGATTGGTCAAATTTCAATCTTTCAATCTTTCATCTCAATATTCAATGCGTAGTCTGATTCCGGCCTTATATTCAAGACTGTCTTAAGGCCATCACACGTACAAAAATTTTAGTCGTAATCGTAAGGCCGTAAGCAAATCGGCCAATCACAATCGAGTGTTTAAAAACTCGAGATCTTAATTTTGATTGTGATTGGTCGATTTGTTTGCGACCTTACGATTCCCACTAAAATTTTTGTACATGTGATGGCCTTTAAGTACAGTCTGAAGATGTCACGAACCAATCAGAAGGCCGTATTAACATCTTAAGACATTACTTAAGACGATCTTGAAATAAGAACGGACTATGAATATCGCCCTAGAGGTTTGTTCACGTCGCATGCTCCAACATGTTCCAAAATGCTCCTACCATAGCTCTTACTCACTCCAATGCGCTTGATAGGATGGCTGCG